ACAAAAAAGTAAATATAATTGTCCACAATGTCGAATTAGCAGTCAAAAACCCAAAAATTAATAATAATTGGAGAATGAAAAATCAATGACGTATAAAACTTCTAAAGCAAACTACTATGAAACTTGTTAGGAATCTGGGTAAGAATCCTAACTTTCTACCTCACTCACACACTTCAGTAAAACTCACAACAAGAAATGGAAAAGAATGGAACTGTATTCACATCAAAGAATCAAGAATACAACTGGGAACCTTGTCTAACTGAAAACAATAAAAGAGTTCCTTTTATAAAGACCCTTTTCCCGCCCCACTTAACTGTTTAGCAGTTAAGTACTCTTCCTCACCTTTTTCCTCTCATAAACCTTCCATGTCCGAACATTACTCCCCCTTGAGAATCAACCTTGTCCCTAAGGTTGAACTTTGGAAATTGTTCTTGCATCACCATTCGATCCTCCCACGTTGCACTATCCACCCCTCAGTCTTGCCATTCAATCAGTACTTGCTCTCGCTGATCTCCTCCTTGTTGCTGAACCCGTCTGTCTAGTACCTTGGTTGGCCAGCATGACGGTCAACTCATTTGTAAGTCTACTAGCAATTCCTTCTCCACTCGATTTGTCCCGATGGCCAACTTCAGCTGGGACACATGGAAGACCATATGGATCCTTGCATTCTCAGGTAGTAGCAATCTGAATGCTACCTCTCCTATTTTCTGAATCACCCTGAACGGCCTGTAATACCTGATTGATAATTTTGGATGTAGTCTCACCGGCATAGAAGTTTGTCTGTGCGGCCGGATCTTCAAATATACCCAATCATCCACCTTTATAGTCATCGGCCTCCTCTTTCGATTAGCCTGCTTGACCATCATATCTTGAGCTCTCGTCATGTGGAATCTAAGTTGTTGCAGCGCCTCGTCACGCGTCTGAAGTTCCTGGGCTACCGCTTCCACCAGTGTTTCTCCCAGCACAAACCTGGCTAAAGATCGTGGCGCCCTCCCATAAACCACTTCAAACGGTGTGCTTTTGGCCGCCCCCTAGTAGCTGGTGTTGTACCAATATTATGTCCAAGGAAGGATCGGGTTCCAACTTTTTGGCTGTTTAGAACAAAAGCACCTCAAATATCCTTCTAAAACACAGTTAAACACTTCTGTATGTCCATCGGTTTCCGGATAGTAAGATGACCTCATCTGAAGATGGGTCCCCTACAACTTGAACAGCTCCCTCCAAAATGAACTGAGAAATAATGGAATTAGGCACTCAGTGTAATTTCACTACTTCCCTCACAAAAGCTTCGGCTACGGTTCTCGCTGTATAAGGATATTTAAGAGGGATGAAGTGTGCATACTTGCTTAAACAATCCACGACTACCAAGATGGCGTCACACCCTTTTGACTTCGGCAACCTAACTATGAAATCCATGTTGATGTCTTCCCAAATAGCTTAGGGAATTGGCAACAGTTGTAAAAGCCCTTGTGGTGAAGCGACTAAGTATTTGTGTTGCTGGAACACTAAGCACTGGGCGACAAACTCTATTACCGCCTTCTTCATCCCGATCTAGTACAGGGACTACGCTATCCTCCGGTAAGTGCGGTATACTCTTGAATGGCCCCTTGTTGGAGTTGTATGATACTCCGTCAGCAGTTTCGGGACCCAGTCTGACTTGGCCGAGATGACGAATCTTCCTTTGTAATGTAGTCGCCCATTCTCCATCGTGAATGAGGAGTACTTATCTGGATCCCGGGTGATGTCTGCCATAATCTTCTTTAAATCTTCATCTTCTTCTTCCTCCTTTACCACTTCCTGAAAATCCTTCCAGTACGGCCTCATCATTCCCTTCAGTTCCTTCTCCATCCCTAGATTGTGTTTCTTGGTTCCTTCCTCCACTTCTTCCCCTTCCTTTCGTGACAACGCGTCAGCTACTTTATTAGTGGTTCCCATTCGGAACACAATCTCGAAATCATAGCCAAGGAGTTTGGAAATCCAATGTTGTTGAGCTTGAGTGGTTATCCTCTGATCCAACAAAAATCTCAAGCACTTTTGGTCAGTGTGCACGACAA